TTATTATAAATTACTTTATTTATTATTAATTAATTTTAAATTTAATATTCACAACACATAATTGTTTAAAAGGAGATAAAGAAATTCATATTTAGTAATTCTTTTTTTTTGTTTTTTGAACATATTTTACAAGAGATAAAATCAAACTTAAACTCAAGGAAAAAAAGAGAATATATATTTTTTCAATGTGATTAATGCTATTAAATTCAAAGAGTCATGTGCATATGTAGTGATTCTAAAAAATTCAAGTTAATTATTGTTTACACCTAAAATAAACCAATAGGGTAAGGCTACGTGTCAAGGTAAAACCCAATCATCAAGAAAATCAATAGGCTGGATTTGGGCTGGGCTGGCTACTCAAACTACCAGATCCAATCTTATTTTCTGTCACCTAAGATTCAACCTCTTTGAAAATCCGTCTGGACCATTAAATTGTAAGATTGTTTCTTCAAAAATCCTCAACCGGCCTTTCCAGCGGTCGACCTCCAATGTAATGACTGGAAAGAACTACTTTGTATTAAATCAAGGTATCCCAATAGTTTGTGTGTGAAGAAACAATAAAGGGAAAAAAAAAAGCTCATGCATTGACATTATTTGACCTACCAAATTTCTAATGTTCATGTTCGACAATCATCGGAAAAAAAAAAAAAAAAATCATTGCTTTGCCTCCGACAAGATGCCATTCTCGCGCTCCATTAGAAAATAGTAGAAAGCACGATAAATGGTCAACAAAAAATGAAAGCATGATACATATGTCTAAAAAAATGGGCCAACGCGCCGAGCACAAACATGATTGCCTAAACCTCACGCAAGATTATAGATTTTTGTATCCTAACTCCTAAGCACCACATAAATCCTTCACCAACCCAAGCTATATATTGAAAGTTCTTAGCTAGGTTAATGGTACCCATCCAAATCCTAACATGACAATACATAATGACATCTTGTCATCTACACTTTTAACATTTTTCGTTTAAGTAATATTATAGATTTTTTTTCTCTTCAACTCATATATTTCTTGTCTTGTCCTTTAAAAATAAAATATTAATAGAAAGAATTTTTTATTTTATAGTTTAAATTATATAATATTTTTTAATATTTATATTTTATAAGAT